GAAATCTGTGGTGCGATGAGGGGTGAACGCAGCGAAAACTTAGGCTACAGTAGATGAGGAACCGATCGATATTTTGTAAACTGTATTTATGACAAAGAACAGAACTGCAGAGTTTGCAGATATTATAACAATCTATCGATAAACACACAGCTGTCCTCTGTTTCTCGCTCGGCGCCGCTGCGGTCTGTGGCTTGAAAAAGAACGCGCTGAAAGACGGGGAAGAGTCGATCGAAGTCTGCTGCTATAGCCCCCCTAAAAATGGCCTAGCGACGCCCATGGCAGGAAATGCACTAAAACAGCAGCTTTACAAATGAAAACCTTTTTTACGGTCACAATTGTGACTGGTGGGATTAAATGGGTTAATGAAAAAATCTGCTATTTTCTGGTGTAATGTGTGTCCCACCATTTCTCATCATAACGCCGCAGTACTCCTCGCACTCCTTCTGGCTGTAGAATGTATTGCCGTTGCCCTTGCAGCCTCCATATTTGAAGGACACACACTTCCCCGTGGCCGAGTCGAAGGTCCACAGGTCTGAGAACACTTTACAGGGACCAGCGTCCATGGGCAGCCTGCAGGCGGCTGAGGGACCAAATACAGTGTGTGTAATAAAACCACACCACGGACAGATGCATTGAGAGCAGGTCACTATCCACACACACACACACACACACACACACACACACACACGGGTCATTTAACTATAATATCAAAGCAACTCTTTAATTATAATCATTTTTAAATTATAGTATATATTACATATTATAATTTATTATAACCCTATAAGATTATAACTATCTTCTATAATATCAAAGCAATAATCTTTTTTCCCCCTAAAGATTTATCAGTCCATACCCTGCACTCTTTCTTTTCACACATAATTAAATAATATAAATAAAACAAGTAAATTGCACTACTGTTTAAAAATTTGGGGTCATTCAGAAAAAAAAAAAAAGAAAATATTTTTTTTTCAGTAAGGATGCAATAAACTGGTCAATAGTGACAGTAAAAACATTTAAAATGTTACTTTTAGATTTCTATTTCAAATAAATGCAGTTATTTTACGTTCTATTCATCAAGGGATCCTTTAAAAAAGTACCATGGTTTCCACAAAAATATTAAGCAACAAAACTGTTTTCAACATTGATAATAATAATAATGAATAATAATAATTATTGAGCACCAAGTCAATGAAATTGTAATATTCAGCTGAAATTAAAATATTTTACAATATTGCGTTTTTACTGTATTTTTGATCAAATAAATGTAACCTTTAAAAAAACAATCAAAAAATCTTAATGAACTCACATTTTTGAACAGTAATGTATATTTAAAATCTTTGTTGCATCTTAATATTAAGACTTTTTTCATTAGTATATATATATATATATATAACCCTGCCCAAATTAAAACATTGTTTTCTTTTTTTCTTGCAAAGTTAAATAAAAACTAGCTCAGCTGTATGGATAACCAATCAAAAGGCAGTTTTTTTGTATAATTATTACACATGCCCTTTTTATGACCTCAGTAATTTTGTGACATATTTGCACATTTAAAACATTTGTCACACCACAGGGCTAAATAAATAAACAAACAAACAAATAAATAAAAAATAATTATTAAATCAAATGGTTACCAACCAGTCATGAAATCTACAAAAACACCCAGTAAACACTTACACTTTATACATTATTATACCATAACACATTAGTTACAAATTTGTCAACTATCACCTATGATATTGGTTTACATATATGAAAGCACATAAGTGGCACTATTGCTCACCAGGTCCTTTGAAGATGGGTGTATCGTCACCCGATCCCTCCTCAGGAGCCGGCAGGACCACATTCCTCCTCGCCCTCTATTGAGATCCAATCACATGACAGGATTATTAATCACGCTGCTATCAGTCTGTCAGATGTGACAATTATTTATTCACCCTCGGGTGTTGTTTATGTGTTTGTATGGATTCAGCAGACTTTAAATGATTTAAACGTTCACTTTTTATGGTCCACAATACACAGGTTTGGAACGACATTAGGATGAGTAACTGATGACAAAGTTGTCATTTTTGGTTGAACAATCCCACTAGGTAACTATTAGCTTTTAGCTCAAATGTAAGTGTTTTAGTTTATGGTGTGTGTGCTGAAGTCTTCACCTGGATCTGTGGCTCTGGTGTGACCTGCTCACCTGGAACACATTCACCTGACGACACAGAGCCAAAAACAATGACATCTGGTCTGAATAAAAGTGTGTTTTGCATTGGTTTGCGTCGTGAGGGTACCTTTGTTCTGTTTGATTACTATAGTGTCTTCACTCATTCCCTGCTCAGCCACCAGAGTCTTGAAGTCTTCGATGAGAGTGGGCCGCAGCTGCATAGCACGTCCTACACAACAAACACAAACCAGATAACCCAGAGGCTCCCATTCAATTATACAAATATCATTGCTGAATGTTCTCTGAATGTTCAAAATGCCCAGTTTTTAAACCGTTTAAAACATTAAGGGAACATTCCATTTTATAATTTTGAAAACATTACGAGAATGTTACTTTTGAATGCTCTCTGAACATTTTAAAATAAATAGTAACATTTAAAAAAATTTGGATAACCATCCAACTAAAACGTTTCAGGAAAAAAAACGTGTAAACGGAGCTGGGCAGATAACTTACAAATTGTAATCCGTTACCGATTCCAAATCACATGACAAAAACTGTAATTAGTAACGTAATCCATTACATCACACATTTTAGGTTATATAATCAGACTACTTTTTGATTACTTTTAGATTACTTTTGACCTAACTCATTTATCACATCGATTTAAACAGGATAAACTTGTACCAAATTGATATAAATAAAAATATATTCCATTTGTTGTTATTAACATTGTGAAGTAACATTATGTCAAGGTTTCCCAAACTGGGGTTCATGAAGGAACTGCAGGAGGTTCATGAGTTTAATGCAAAGCTGATAATTAATGAAATCATAAAAAAGTAAAATTTCAATAAATGATTTTAAAATAACGAATCAAAATAAAACAGTAAAAAAGTTAATATTTTATTTGTTTACCCGCATGTCATGTGAACAGAGAACTGTGATACTTAATTATTAAAATATGTGACCCTGGACCACAAAACCAGTCATAAGGGTCAATTTTTTGAAATGGAGATTTATACATCATTATATATATATATATATATATATATATACATATCAGTTGAATATTTTGCATAATGCTATAATTACAATAGTTATAATTGTTATTGTTATTATTATTATACAGTTAACACTTAATTTTACTTTCATGAATTTTGTTTCCTGTTTATTTCACGTTGTAGGCCTATATATTGTATGTTATTTTTAGTTTTATATGGCCTACTTTCTCATAAAACATTTTAGATTAATTACAATATAAGAAACACTAAAACACCTATTTAAAAAAACCTATACAAAGCCTATTAAACCCTTTTAAATAGAGATGATTTTTCTTCAAGCAAATGTACTTGCTATTTCATGAATTGCTTTAAGTATTTATTATTGACTTAATTTATATTATTTATAATTTTTTTTATTTCATGTTAAAAAAGGATTGTGTATATATTGTGTCATTTTTGTTTTGTACAATCTACTTTCACATAAAATATTTGGTGCATTCACCAAAATGCAAATAGTCTATAAAAGTTTAAACACCTACTGCATGAATTGTTTGTTTTATGTTGTATATATTGTATTTCTTTTGTACCTTTTTTCTTTCATAAAAAGTTTAACTTTTATTACAATATAACATTGACAAAATGCAAAGAAATAGCCTGTAAAATGCTTCACAGATTTTTTTTTTTTGCCTTTTTACCTTAAAAGTGTTTTCTAAAATTAGTGTATTTAAACAGGTTCCCATTGTGACAACATACCACATTTAGTTTGACCACTGGGGCATGTTGTCACAAAATATCAATAAGTGATAAATGAACTGTCTTCTTTTGCCTGGGCAATAACAGTGGAAATAATGTGAAGGTTTTTTTTTTTGCATTCAAGGCATTTTTTTAGATGTTTGTGTCTATATAGAAATATTCTACAAGTGTGACAACTAGTCCGGGTCTGCTCTATTCACAAACAGTTTCTTAAACGTCCAAAAGGCATAACTTACCCGGTTCACATCAAAGTTCTCCTGGGGCTGGAGGACGGGCTCATCGGGCAGCGGCCCAGCATGCAACAGGCCCAGGAGCGGCAGCAGAAACACCACAACAACACGCTTCATTCTGACTGTCTGTGATCCAAATGAAGTTGTGAAGAACCACGACTGTGTCTCCGTCCACAGGACATCGACCTGCTGGCCATGTGTGCAACATCCCCCCCCAAAACCAGTCCAGCAAAACAAACCGAACAAAGGTCTTCTTATCTGCCCGTTGACTCCAAACTATGTGTGCCTTGTGTTCTTGTTTGCTTTGGCTGAAATTCTGACATATACAACATTAATATTAGCATGATTCTATGAAATATTCCAATAATATTTTCAGCATGTAAGAAGAGAAGAGTTTCATTTTCAGTTTTTTTGCTGAGTGACATTATATAATAAATGTTTTGAGTTTATAAAACAAAACAAAACAGATTTGCTCTGCAACAAATACCATACCCTTAGAATTAGATTTTTATGTACAATTACCAAACATCTGTCACAAAAAAACGGCATCCAGCGAGTGTGATTTTTCAGTCACAAACTCACAATAACCAGTTCATATTTTTCCTGTTAACACAATCTGTGAGAAAAGAGAAGAGATGTATACTGTATACTTAATTGCACATTAACTTTAATTTCTCATGCCAAACTCCAGATGTGAATAACATACACAATATGAACAGAAGAAAAGTTTTATTTTTGCCAGCAAAGATCATCAGAGACGTGATGATATATACCTAGATTCAGTGTTTTATCATAAATATAACAACTATGCACAGCAAACGACAATGACATGTAGTTACAATACTACAAACTGTCACAAACAGACATCATTTTGGCACATTAATGATGATGTGTTTCCTCCAGCTCTAAACGTGATTGGGAACTGAAAGAGAGACAAAAACAAGTAAAAAAAACAATCTTCAAAGCTGTCAAACTGAATGAATATCTTCTCGTAGTGTCACGAGGTGAGAAAACGGGGATTGACAAACTAGATATGAAGCTCTCGCTTACCTAACTTCCTGATGGAGGACAGTTTTCTAAAAAGACTAAACAAAAATGAGAAATTTTGTGAGAATTTTGCAGACAATACAACTATTTTAGATAATAAATAAACATTTAAATGGATTGTGAACAAAAGTTAATTCTTAAGCAATTATTTGTGTCCAACCATGTATAGTCTTAAAAAAAAGTATTTCAGCCCCCCTTAAAAATATGACTGAATGTCATTGACTGCATCCGAATTCAATACTTCCCTGTACCTTACAAGAATGCTGAAAACAGTACACCAAAAGAGTAGTATGTCTGAATTCAGAGAATTTGAAAAACAGTAAAAAGTAACCCGATTAAAAGTACCCGGATGACTTCCTACTTCTGCCTGGATTCTGAAGTGTGCATTCGATGGACACTTTATTATCCCACGAGGCCATAATTTAGTGATTTCAGATGCACTGATTGAGTTCGATATCAAACCAAATATATCAAATTATTAAAATCTTCTCCTCAGGTGTCCTATCAGAGTAACCAACAATCACTTCATCTATAAACATGAGCCACTCATATTTGACAACAACATAACTCTCCAAATACTTTGTGTCGTCAATTTGAACAGCATTGCTTTTATCATTCGAACCCTAAAGAGCCTTTTACACATTCATTCAGTTTTAGGTTCAGCCAAAAATGAAAATTCTGTCATCATTTACTCGCCCTCGTGTTGTTACAGACCTGTATGAGTAGGGCTGTAAAATCGATTAATCGCGATTAATCGCTTCCAAAACATTTGATTTATATTATATATAAATATATTACATATATTTCTTAAACATACATGTATATGTGTGTGTGTGTATTTATATGTACATATAAATATAAACAGTACGCACACAAATATTAAGTAAAATACTTTTGTTTTGGAGTTGACTGATTTTTACAGCCCTATGCATGAGTTTCTTTTTCTTCTACTGAACACAAAAGAAGATAATGTAAAGAATGTAAGTAACTGTCAGGAGTTTGGACCTGTCTGTGTGTTGTTTTCCTCCCCATGTGCTCCGTGACCTAGTTTTCCCTTGTGTTTGATTGTGTTCATTGCTCCCAGGTGTGTCTCATTATTAGCTGATCCCATGCACCTGTGTTTCCCTTATTATCCCCTGTATTTAAGTCCATGCCTTTGCATTCTGTGTTTGTCGAGTCTTAAACGTCATTCTATGTGCTCTGTGTCTCCTACGCTCCCTGTATTCCCAGTGATTGGATTATTAAAGTCTGTTTTGTTGAAGCTATTCCTACGTCTCTTCGCTCCCAGCTCCGGAGTAGTGATGCAAAGTCAGATTCATTTCCGCGAACCGGTTCTTTTCGGACAGATCTATTTGTGTGAAAGCATAGTGCTGATTATTGCTATATAATTCATTTAAGTTAGTGGTGTTTGTGGTCACAGTTTCATTTGAGGTCAGTCAGATACGACTGACTGAGCAATATTGACTAGCCTACAACTTGGATAAGATTCCTAAAAGTTTCGCACCTACAGAACACATTACAGACATTGATGCACAAACGTGGATATGTTCTACATGTCTACAGTATAAAGAATGAATAAACCAGTCTTATAAACTCCTTGATTTCGCTTAAGCAACTTTAAATATAATATGCATGCACAATAAACTACTGTAACATTTATTTGCATCACTCGACAGAAAGATTTTTGCAGGTTTTAATAAAATGTAAATGAATAACAGTCATAATAAACAAGCATATTTCCAGTACGCGCCTCAGGCTTGCACAGTATCGTCAACTCGCTCATCAGAATCTTCGGTAATCCTCGGCAAACTTCGACAGTTGGTTGAACCGGCTCATTCGGTTCTTTTTGAGTTGGACGTGCTACATCGGCTGTGCGTCCTGCGTCATCAACCCGGAACCAAAGTTTGATTCAGTTCGATTTGTGAACTGGCTCGACCTGTTACTTCCTGAGAACCGGCTCAAAAGAACGATTCGTTCAAGAACCTAACATCACTACTCCGGAGTACCGTGACAGTAACGAAGTAGCTGACAGTACCCATTTATATTAATCCCCATAGTATTTTTTTTTACACACTATGGAAGTCAATGGCTACCGTCAACTGTTTGGTTACCAACATTCTTCAAAATATCTTCTTTTGTGTTCAACAGAATAGAGAAACTCATACAGGTTTGGAACGATATGAGGGTGAGTCAGTGATGACACGTTTTCATTTTGGGGTGAACTGGCTCTTTAATTGTCCAGATGAAGTCAAACTTGCGGGTGTAAGTGATTTGAGTAGTTTACCAGCAGCTGGTGGAGTCAGTATGGAGTCCTTCGGGAATCCTTGAGCTGTGGCATACACTCTGAACTTCTCCATCACATCTGCCCTCAACTTCTTAGTACGACCTACAGTGAAATTACAGGCACTGAGAACAATTTACAAAGTCAGAGGAACAAGAACGCCCTCCCAAATAGCTTGAGTTGATAACAGTTGTTTATTGCAGACTCACCATAAAGGGCCACTTGTGTGAACTCCTTTTTAAACTTCTTGTGTTTGAGGACCAGGGCGTACTCTGTGTAGTTCGTCTCCACCACAGTAACATCCTTCACCCTTCTGTGACCTTTAAATTACAATAAAAAACTGAATGGTAGCATCATTATCTCAGGCTCTGATCAGTCAGATTTGTCTTATATGTTGACTCACGAGTGCTGTAGTAGGTGAAGACGCCGGGCACAGAAGTCTTCTTATAAATGTAGACCTTAGAATGACAGCCAGAGGAACTGCATATGATCACAGGAGATGAGTGAATATAATCGAATATATTTAGTGCTGTCAAACGATTAATCGCATCCAAAATAAAAGTTTTTGTTTACATAATATATGTGTGTACTTTGTATATTTATTATGTATATATAAATACACACACATACAGTATATATTTCGAAAATATGTACATGTATATATTTATATTCATATAATTTATATATACAAATATATTTAATATATAAACATAACATATTTTTCCAAAATATATACATGCATGTGTGTGTATTTATATATACATAATAAATATACACAGTACACACACGTATATTATGTGCATAAAAACTTTTATTTTGGATGCGATTAATCGTTTGACAGCACTAAATATAATATAATATAATATAATAATACAGTTATTTTAGAAACTATTCTTAACTGTTTTAATGAAAACAAATGACACAAGAATCATCATGAATAATATAATATAATATGTTATTTTAGAAACTATTCTTAACTATGTTAACTGTCAAATGAGACAAGAATCATCACATATTGTGTGAATATAATATAATACAATATATAATATAATATAATATAATATAACAGTTATTTTAGAAACTATGCTTAACTATGTTAAAGAAAACAATTGACAAGAATCATCACACAGTGTGTGAATATAATATAATATAATAATATATAACAATTTTAAGATGGCAATAATAATATTTGTGGAACTATTCTAACTTCATTATGAATTAAAACTAAAACAAAATACTTTTCTGAAATATGTTTCTCAGTATTAACAGAGAGTTCAAAGTGCTGTTGTTCTAAATATACAATTCTCAACTTGTTGTATGTAAAAGAACTTGTGCAATAGTATTATAGATATTATATTAAGTTTTACTGTATTATATACAAATATTTTTCCTCTGAAAACAAAATGGGTGTCCTTCACCTTAAACTCCACATGGTCATGTTGACGTTCCCGTTCTCCTTCGGCTCCACTGTGCCCATAGAGATGGGAAGTTTGCTTCTATGCTGCACAAAACCTGGGGAATCATAGGCCAGACCGACCCGATACCACCTCCCTGCAAACTGAACAAACACAATCCAGCTCACAGCACACATATATCCCATCTTAAGAAAATAAGCATAAGTAGACAAGGACATCTTGGAAAAACAAGAGAATCCGCCCAAAATATTTAGCCTGATTCTAATGTCCAATCAGTATCAGAACTGCTATTTTGTGTCTTCCCTTAAAAAAGTCTATTTTTTTCATAAAATCTCATGAAGATGCCTTGAGAACTTGGCAGAAATCACTCAGTCCTTGTTGCAACACTGAGCGGTGACCTTTGCCCTGAGCTCTGTTTGTCTGCACTGTCTCTAAAGTTAATGCAATCGCTGTCCCCTCAAACAGCCCTGTAGAGCATTACCCTAATCAACATGTCTATTTCTATGTATTTCAGCCCTAGACAAGAAAAACATCCCTAAACAAACATTATTCAACTGTTTAAATATCTATCACACAACACCAGCCTGAACTCAACAAAGACCCACTTTTCAAACTGCTGTTTGGAAATTGCTACTAGTCCAAAACCAGCGTAACGGAACATGCTACTGCACAATCCTACAGAAAAAAGGCACCTAAAATCATTTCATGAAGCTTCAGTGTTTAAAACATCAGCTAAAGCACAAGTTCTCACCCTCTGAAGGTCAAAGTTTTTCTGCGGTTGGACGCTGGCGTGGATGTCAGTCAGAAGCATCAGCCAAAAGATGCTCACCAAGGCGATCTTCATGGTGACGTTGTAGGAACACAGCCAGGGATTGTGGACTGTTCAGGGTCTGCCAGCCACATCAGCTCCTCCCCCTCACCAATCCAGCCAATCACATGCAAGAACACACACCTAACAGAGAGACCATTCATTGAAGGTACCATGTTTGAAACTTACAAATATTACAATTTCCATCCCACAAAGTCATAAATGTTTCTATATTTTAGACGCAATAAAGTAAACAAACAGAAGCAACTACAGAGAATTAATATATTTTTTTTATTAATATTGATTCTTGGGTGCCATTGTTTTGAAAGAGCATGATTTACAGCTAGTCTTTAAGACGAGAGGACCTCAGTGTGACGCGGCACACCTCACACACCTCTACATCAACACACACACACACACACACACACACACCCCCCGCCGGCTCACTCATAGTTTCCCTTCTCTCATCTGCCTCTGCATGTTGTTCCTGAGTACTGAACAGAAATAGACAAAATAAAAGTGCATTTATGATCAGTCTTTTCAGAAGGGTGACAAATCGGTACAATTTATAAACAAAACTGAGGAAAAAAGGGTCAGTTTTCCTCCTTAACTAACTAAATACATTGGCTTTGGTGCTCAATAAAACAAGATAAAAAACACAAGTTATGTTACTTGAAAATGGTCCTTTGTAGCTTTAAAGCTATATTGACAAAGCAAATAAAAGAAAATCCACAGTAAATAATAAGTTGAATATAAAACATTAGATATCCCTCATAAAATAATTATCAGTGAAAACATGAACACAATTTTGGATGGCAACTCAGCCATTCTATGCACCAGGAGGGAACGTTTATCTCCTGAATGAGCGCAATCTAGTGGACAGACATGAGAACAACAACGCTGATAACGGGAGTGTCGCATCATTTATAGAGAGAAAATAAACACTAAAAAACCAGACACACACTTGCACACACAAACCAATCCTTTGAAACGTTGAAGTTGGGACTAAAACAGAAAACGGACAGTTTTTTACGATACAGTGGAAATTCTCTAAGTATTTAAAAAAATAAATAAATACAAAAATTATTCACAGCACTGGTTTTGCATTTCACATCGCTAACGCCTTTACAATATATGAAGAAAGACATTAAATTAAAAAGCAGAAATTTCTGTCAAAACACATTACTGAAATTGAAGGTTGTTTGTGTGTGTCTGCAAGTGTGTGTCTTTTTACGCGACTTTAAAAAGATTGTTTAGCCAAAAATTAAAACTTTGTCATCATTACTCACTTTTATGTTATTCCAAACCTGTGTGATTTTATTTTATTTATTTTTTTGGAACACAGAAGAATCTTCATGAAAATTCTAAAAAGGAAAAAAAAATGACTGAAATTCAAGGTTTCAAGTTGAAATTGACTGATTATCTTCCTCGCCTTTTGAAACGCTTTTATTACACCAGGTCTGTTGTCAATGTGACACTGCTTTTATAAATATGTGAAATGGAGAAGGACATTTGAAAGCTGCAGTAACAGAAACACAAACAAAAAATTCTGCTCTTCTTCTCACATAAAAGTATCATATGGCTTCAGAGGACTTGGAAAAAGTCACCTGGATTTTTTTTTGTCCATTTCAGAATCGGACAGTTGTTTTGTTCCACTAAAAATGATCAGCATTCAGGTTTGGAAAGACATGAGGGGATTCATTTTGGGTTGAACTATGCCTTTAACTGGGAGAGATAATCAAGAGAGGCCTCAGCAAAAGCCTCGTGGTGAGGATTCTTGCTGTCATTGGACACAAACTCTAACACACACTATCACGAGAGAAAGAAATGTCTGTAGAGCAGATTTCAGACGTCATATTGTGTCTAACATATAACTCAGCGCATAAGATGTGCTTTCCCTCTCTTTCACACACCCAGAACAAAACCCCCAAAAAACAAAAACAAACAAGATTAACGGAGAAATAAAGCTTAACCCACAACAAATCATTAGACATCATTCTTTTACAAAATTACAAAAAAATGCAAGTGATAAAGGAAAGGGCAAACAACAAAATAAAAACAGGAACAGGTATTGATGGAGACAACTGCATCTGATTGGCTGACTAACCAATGACATCACTACTGCTTTTAAAGGGACAGTTCACCCAAAAATGAAAATTCTGTCATTAACTACTCAACCCTCATGTCGTTCCAAACCCGTAAGACCTCCGTTCATCTTCGGAACACAAATTAAGATATTTTTGATGCATTCTGAGAGCTCTCTGACCCTGCATAGACAGCAAGGATCCTTACATGATCAAGGTCCAGAAACGTTTAAGGACATCGGTAAAATAATCTACGTGACATCAGGGGTTCAACTGTAATTTTACGAAGCTACGAGAATACTTTTGGTACGCAAAGGAAAAATAAACAACGACTTTATTCAACAATTCGTCTCCTCCGCGTCACCCTGGTGCCATTTTGGAGAGTATCACATACGTAAACAGCGTTTGCTGTTCTGTGTCAGCTGCGTCACATTGATACGTTTTCTACATTGATACGTTTGCGCTTTGATCTGAATGAAAACAATGTATCCATGTGACGCAGCTGACACAGAACAGCATATGGATCCTTGCTGTCTATGGGAGGGTCAGAGAGCTCTCGGATTTTATCCAAAATATCTTAATTTGTGTTCCGAAGATGAACGAAGGTCTTACGGGTTTAGAACGACATGAGGGTGAGTAATTAATGACAGAATTTTCATTTTTGGGTGAACTAACCCTTCGAGTATCAATTGAAGTCTAAATCACACGTACAGCTATTTGAGTAAATCTCACTTCATCCCAAATAAAAAAAATGAACAATGTATACATTTTGAATGAATAAATTAATTCCTTTTTTTTTTTACTGTTTTACGGAGTTTAATTTATGCTAATTCTAATGAATAAGTGATTTTTTTTCTCATTACTGCAATGAGAACGAGGATTTTGTTTGTCATTATGGTAATGAGAATGATATTTTATTATCATTACAGTAATGTGAACTTGATTTTTTGTCATTATGGTAATGAAAATGAGATTTTATTGTCGTTACAGTAATGCAAATTAAATGTGTTATTACAGTAGTGAAAATTAGATGTTATCGTCATTACAGTAATGAGAATGAGGATTTTATTGCCATTATTGTAATGAGAATGAGGATTTTATTATTATTATGGTAATGAAAATGAGTTTTTTTTTCATTATGGTTCAGAGAATTAGATTTTTCTTATTATGATAATGTAAATTAGATTTTTGGAGAGATTCACCCAAATAAGGTTAAAACAGTTCTCTGTTTTCCCACATCTGTGCTGTACGTTAATATATAGTGGCCAAAACAGTGACTTGGAGAAAATCAAGTGCTGTCACACGTGCACACACACGTAAATACTTGCTACGATATATAAATAAATAATCAGCTGTCAGTGGACGAGGGAGAACAGGAAGGTTCGCAAAAGGAGATCGAGCAAAATACACATGGAACGGAAGGGATGCCCACAGATGTAGTGCTGGACACTTTGCATGATGGGAAGGGAGTACAAGCAAGGTCTAGAAAATAAGCTAGCTGTCTAAGAGACATGGAAGAGACGTCTAGGGTCAGTGTAATGATGATGCAGGATGAGGGCAATAACACTATCTGGTGACCTGACAGTAAGGCACAGTGCTCTGTTTGCGTCAATCATTCATGCTGCTGAAAGAAAAACTAGAACTCTGATGACAAATAGCCTATATCGCTTTCCCTTCCTTCTCCTCTGCTTCCGCTCTCTTCCCTTTCAGGTCTGGCACCACTATGCAGACAGATGTTCGTTCTTTAGCACCAGAGAATTACACTACTGTCATTCGCCTCTATGCAAACTCCGCTACAGTGTCCTGTAGAGATTCCTTGTTGGGAACTTAACGGTCTTCACGTCTAGCAAAACGAAGCAAACCCATGAAGCCCAGTCTGCACAATGTTGCACCGGGCTGATCGTTAAAATCTGCTTCCATGCTGACGCTGCATACTAAACGTCTGGAGAGGTACAATGGATACAGTAGCAGTGCAATCATGGACGTCTTCAACGCGGCATGACTTGTATATAGATGATGAGCTATTCTACAACTTAAATATATTTGGTGCATGTTAAATAAACAGCGTTGTTCAAGTCATGGCAGCTGGCAAGTGCACAGCCAGTGCTGTGTTTGTATTGCACGTCGATCCTTGTGGTTTTGGTCAGGGCTTGAGGGCGCATTCATGACGGCAGTCGCTTGTCAAAACCGTCAAAACGAACTTGTCAGTCCCGAATCCTGTAGGCAGGCGAGCATTGTGCAGCTGAGGCAAAAGGAAAGCTTTACCATTTGACAGACCTGTGTTTGGTCCTTGTGCCTTTCCTTGCTGTTTGTTTTTTGTATTCTTGCTTGCTAAATTGCTTAATTTTTTCGCATTTTTTTTGTTTTCAAGATGGCCGCCTGGCTGAATGCCACCTCAGTCCCGTCTGGGTCGTAAGAGAGGTGGACTGTGAGAATGAGTTTAGAACGACATGAGGGTGAGTAATTAATGACAGAATTTTCATTTTTGGGTGAACTAACCCTTCGAGTATCAATTGAAGTCTAAATCACACGTACAGCTATTTGAGTAAATCTCACTTCATCCCAAATGAAAAAAATGAACAATGTATACATTTTGAATGAATAAATTAATTCCTTTTTTTTTTACTGTTTTACGGAGTTTAATTTATGCTAATTCTAATGAATAAGTGATTTTTTGTCTCATTACTGCAATGAGAACGAGGATTTTGTTTGTCAATATGGTAATGAGAATGATATTTTATTATCATTACAATAACGTGAACTTGATTTTTTGTCATTATGGTAATGAAAATGAGATTTTATTGTCGTTACAGTAATGCAAATTAAATGTGTTATTACAGTAGTGAAAATTAGATGTTATCGTCATTACAGTAATGAGAATGAGGATTTTATTGCCATTATTGTAATGAGAATGAGGATTTTATTATTATTATGGTAATGAAAATGAGTTTTTTTTTCATTATGGTTCAGAGAATTAGATTTTTCTTATTATGATAATGTAAATTAGATTTTTGGAGAGATTCACCCAAATAAGGTTAAAACAGTTCTCTGTTTTCCCACATCTGTGCTGTACGTTAATATATAGTGGCCAAAACAGTGACTTGGAGAAATTCAAGTGCTGTCACACAAAATCGTCTCGTCACACGTGCACACACACTTAAATACTTGCTACGATATATAAATAAATAATCAGCTGTCAGTGGACGAGGGAGAACAGGAAGGTTCGCAAAAGGAGATCGAGCAAAATACACATGGAACGGAAGGGATGCCCACAGACGTAGTGCTGGACACTTTGCATGATGGGAAGGGAGTACAAGCAAGGTCTAGAAAATAAGCTAGCTGTCTAAGAGACATGGAAGAGACGTCTAGGGTCAGTGTAATGATGATGCAGGATGAGGGCAATAACACTATCTGGTGACCTGACAGTAAGGCACAGTGCTCTGTTTGCGTCAATCATTCATGCTGCTGAAAGAAAAACTAGAACTCTGATGACAAATAGCCTATATCGCTTTCCCTTCCTTCTCCTCTGCTTCCGCTCTCTTCCCTTTCAGGTCTGGCACCACTATGCAGACAGATGTTCGTTCTTTAGCACCAGAGAATTACACTACTGTCATTCGCCTCTATGCAAACTCCGCTACAGTGTCCTGTAGAGATTCCTTGTTGGGAACTTAACGGTCTTCACGTCTAGCAAAACGAAGCAAACCCATGAAGCCCAGTCTGCACAATGTTGCACCGGGCTGATCGTTAAAATCTGCTTCCATGCTGACGCTGCATACTAAACGTCTGGAGAGGTACAATGGATACAGTAGCAGTGCAATCATGGACGTCTTCAACGCGGCATGACTTGTATATAGATGATGAGCTATTCTACAACTTAAATATATTTGGTGCATGTTAAATAAACAGCGTTGTTCAAGTCATGGCAGCTGGCAAGTGCACAGCCAGTGCTGTGTTTGTATTGCACGTCGATCCTTGTGGTTTTGGTCAGGGCTTGAGGGCGCATTCATGACGGCAGTCGCTTGTCAAAACCGTCAAAACGAACTTGTCAGTCCCGAATCCTGTAGGCAGGCGAGCATTGTGCAGCTGAGGCAAAAGGAAAGCTTTACCATTTGACAGACCTGTGTTTGGTCCTTGTGCCTTTCCTTGCTGTTTGTTTTTTGTATTCTTGCTTGCTAAATTGCTTAATTTTTTCGCATTTTTTTTGTTTTCAAGATGGCCGCCTGGCTGAATGCCACCTCAGTCCCGTCTGGGTCGTAAGAGAGGTGGACTGTGAGAATGAATCGACGGGGATTTGAATACACAACCAGAATGCGTTCCTGCGGCCCCTTGCTGTGTTTGCTGAGATAATGAAGGGCGGAGTGATGAGGGGGCGGGGTTTGAGGGCTGCTGAAGGTGGGGTGATGAGGGAACAGGTGGAGGTTGGCAGTAGTCTCATAATTTCTGCTTTCCTGAGACGATGCTGCGATGGAGCTCTACATTCAGCTCCACATACTGTCCCTTAGTGCAGTCCAGGAAGTAGAGTTTGTCAGAGACGACGCTGGGATCGAATCCCTCCCGTCGCATGTCTGTCTTCTGGAATTTGAAAGTCCCTGAAAAAAAACAAAACGGCAAACTTGTATTTTTATGTCATGCATTGGTGTACTGCACATTTTTGACTCAATTATCTGTAGTTCAAGGGTGCATATAAAAATAATTCATTCAGTGATTTTTTTTTTCAAACTTCAGATTTTGATAAAGCCTTAGACTGTATATCTTCCCCAATTGTCAAATTTAATTCAACCCTGAACATGTCAGAGAAAGGCTGCCCTAAAATGAGGAGATGGTGCAATATAACTTATGTCATGTCAAGTTAAAGGTTCCATAAATAAGATACAGTACAGTACAATACAAAACGTTCATTCGTGTTTACAGAGTATCTGCAGAGGTTTAGAAATGAAAATATAAGACCTGCAGAAATAAAATTAATACTCTGTATGTCTATGTAGAACAAACCTATACAACCTCAAAATACATCAGAATAGTTTACTTCAATACTATCAATACATATGGATTAGAAGTTGACTAAAATTGGATTTTGCTGACACAATAAGAATATGTTTAAAGAAAGGCAATAAACAGAGAGTTGCTACTAGTAAACTCTATATATTGAAAATGTTCTTATTCTTTCCTTTCTACGACAAGATTGAATTAAATGCCAGATACAGTTTATTGTGTAACAATAATCCCAATAATATCCAGAAAAGATTGCAGCAAATTCTGCATAATGTAGGACTTTTAATGGTAAACATGCCAGAAATACACAGGACTTTACATTTAAAATGTCTATGCTTTACTTCTTCCAGCTGATCATTCAAAAAGATCAGATAAAATATGAACTCTTACAACCATCTATAACATATGATAATATAAAGACCATAACGCAAACATTGCCATAATTCATCCATAGTAGCCCAATAAGCAATCGCTTGGAATACATGTGTGGTATTCACTGCTCTGAAACTCTTGAGCCTGTTTTTACTTTGAAACTTGCAGTGCCTCACATTTATTTAATTAAATAACAGACCAGTTTTGAAGTTTAATAGACACATTACGCCATACTGTATCATGATTCCGTTTTTTCATACCTCCTAAAATATTTAGGAATTTTGCTACACTATTTATAAAAAATTTAAGACTTTTTATGATCTTAAATTTGGACAAACTAAATTTGAGAAATGTTTCAACTTTAAGGACCTGCGTGAACCCTCATTATATTTAATGGTGTCTTGAAAATGGCTGAGAAACAGCTCTTTAAATGCTTTTATAGGAACAATAGATATGGCAGCAATGACGTGTTGCATCATTTAAGGCAGAATGTAAAGCGGCAATAAGTTACTGGTGAATAAATAACTTGATTGAGCCTAGAAGTACTCTGAACATTGACATTTTTAGGATTGTTACTGTGACTTTACCTCTCTGAGTTAAGCGTGCGATATCTCACCTGTTTTGTTCACTTCTGGTAGGAAGCGCAGAAAGACAGGCCGGGCATAGGGCGGCAGGGCCTTCTCCAGGTCCCGGCTAAACTTCGCCAGGTCTGTGCTGTGGTCCGGGTCTGCTATGGCTGCCATCCCTGCCTTGCCTTCAGCACCTGAGGAAAAACATCCACATGCATCACACAATGGCAACCTCAGGTCCTGTAATCAACCTCAGAAGAAGCTAGACGGCATAATCCAAGCCTATAAGCATAAAGAGATAGTGAGTCACCATGAATTAAAATAAACTGCCTAAGGAGATCATTGCCTCGCCAGGTCATATGTCACTTTTCCAAGGACAGAGATCTATGAACTACTGCATACAGGAAGAGAAACAGTGATGTTTTACATTACTGCACTGCTACTCCAAAGAAAAGGTTTTTATTATTATAAAAAGGAGTTGTGTTTTGCTGTGCAGCTTCTAGCTACACATTGCATTCTCAGTATTGCCACAAGAGGCGCTAAAGCAGCTATTTGAGTAAAATCCTCTGCAGCTCGTTTTCTCTTTGATGCCATCTACTGTTGTCTGTTTATGCTAACGTCAAGGCTATAGAAAACCCTAATGATTTCAAAATCTCACATAAACAGTTTTCTTGTGTTGTCGGTTTATCGATTTGCATGTAGACCCTTAAAACATTTCGATGGTTATCAGCGAATGATATACACACATATCTATATGTTACAGACCCACAACTCCAGATCTGCTGATCACATTGTTCTGAAGGTGAGAGTGTATTGTTCAGTCGGCAGTCTCAAATGTACCGAGCTATATTCAGCACTCTGCTGCGATTGCTTTATAGATCTAGTGTAAGCAAAACCGGAGCCAGGCCAAGAGAAGACTTTGTTTGGCTGTGCATTCCCAGAATCCTTCAGGAGCTGCTGCAGTCAGCTTTGTTTAAATTAATTATTCTCCTCTCCACACACTGGCTGGGCACCCGATGATTCATGATACTACGTCATGAGAGTCAAAACACTTAAAGGAACAGTTTACCACCAAAAAAAACCAAAACACTCTGCGCACTCTTTACTGTCACAATTTCAACTTGAATCTTAGACCTTATTGTGCGCAGTTAAGTTTGTCAATTAGCCATGTAATAAGCGAGATAATCGCCAAAATTCAGCACAAAACCACTGCTGAGGTTTATTTTCCTTCCACTTGAAAATATAGTCCCTTATGAGATTTTCTTATACGGGACGAAATGTGATTGGTGGGAAAATAAATATAGAGAAGGACGGTCACACTTTATTTTAAGCGAGTTAATTCTCGCTATTAACAAACCATTAACTACGACTTCTGCCTCAAAAAACTGCTAATTTTCTGCTTATTAATAGTTATTAAGGTAGTTGTTAAAGGGATAGTTCACCCAAAAATGAAAATTCTGTCATTAATTACTCACCCTCATGTCATTCCAAACCTGTAAGACCTCCGTTCATCTTCGGAACACAAATTAAGATATTTTGGATGTAATCCGAGAGCTCTCTGATCCTCCATAGACAGCAACGCACAGAAACGTAGCAAGAACATCGGTAAAACAGTCCATGTGACATCAGGGGTTCAATCGTTTTTGTGTGCAAAGAAAACAAAAATAACAACTTTATTCAACAATTCTTCTACTCCTCATCCCATGTCCAGCGACGAGCTGCCATTGTGGACAGTCTCACAACGCATGCGTTTGCTTCCGCGTCAAGGAAACGACGCATGCGCATGGTGCAGCTGCTTCTCAACAGTTGTTAGCCTATAACCGACAATGTTTAGTATAAATCAACTGTTTACGTGAATACTCGTCAAAACGGACAATTCGACATAATTTTGTGTGTAATTCTCCGTTCATGCGACGCAAAAGAGTACTCGCGCACTGTGAGACGAGCTTTCCGTGTGTATCCTTTAGTGTCTGTGCTCAGGAAACCGAACTGAATTGAGTTCTCTCTTGCGTCGTCAGATTTATCCATATGTCTGCTCTTCTCTTACTCCCACATATTGACATTTTTTAACGTTTTATGCGACGTACAGCAAGTGTATGTTAGCTCATGTCCCGCCGGTTCATATGTACGCATCTATCCTCCGAACCACGCAGCAGATTCGTTCTGAATGAATCTCTTCCCAAATCGTCCCTCCCTAAAATTTTCGTCTCGTTTTTATTCGTTGACGAAAATGTTAATAGATTTACGTCATAGTTTTTGTCATTCAAAAATAGTTTTAGTTCGTTATCGTCTCGTTGTCGTCAGTGAAAAAAATGTCGTTGACGAAAATTATTTGTCAACGAAATTAACACTGTTGGGTAGGATGTATAAAATGGTCATGCAGAATAAGTGCTTTATAAGCACTAATAAACAGCCAGTATGTTAATAATAGGCATGTTAATGAGCAACTAGTTAATAGTGAGCATTGGTCCCTATACTAAAGTGTTACTAGAAGGACAAACAGAAAAACAGAAAAGATGAGAAATGTGTGATTACCTGGCACCTCCACTCCATACACCACCACATCTTTCATGTCCAGCAGGCGGCTCAGCGTTCCCTCCACCTCAGTGGTGGAGACGTTCTCTCCTTTCCAGCGGAACGTGTCTCCTGTGCGGTCTTTGAAATACATGTAGCCGTAGTCGTCCATCACCAGCACGTCCCCTGAGAGAGGAGAAGCCAACAACTGCTATTATCTAACTGAGCATATGGAAGTAAGTGTGCGCTTGTGTAGAGCATTTTCAAATACGATACCTGAGAGATAGGCACTATCTCCTTTTTTGAAGACATCGTGAGCGACCTTTTTATTAGTGGCTGATTGATTGACGTAGCCGTCAAATCGTCTGAGAGGGTCGTTTTGAATGATTCGGCCAACCAACTGACCAGGTTCTCCTGAGAAACAAAATAAGGAAATGGATTTTAAATAAGATTTTTGCACTTTCTATAGTGGTCAAAAGAGAAACATAATTAAGGCCAATATATAATTTTTTAACTATTTGCATTGGCTGATGAGATTTTCTGTTTGACTTTTATTATGATAGCACTAAGAAAGTCAGTGCCTGAATGCTTAAAATCCACGCGAACTGGAATTTGCAGTCGACTTTATTTCAGTGTAGTGACGTATTTCCAGCTGAAACGGAATATTGAATAGAGGGCGGGGATTTATGTTTGCGCTCCTCCTCCTCTCTGTCTCTCACTCATAGCAACCTAACGGTTGGATGGATGTGTTTAAGGACATTCTGCCCGAACCGTCAAACTGACGTCATCAGAAAAGAAATGCCATTCCAGAGCGGAAGCAAATGTTCAGATTTTGATTAAAGATTACCATGACAAACTTTTTTTTTCAGCGGATTAACTTGCACGGAGTAATTGTTCACATCAAGACTAGCAATGTGCGCTAATAAAGTAAATAAAGTCGATTTTGATTTCATGCGGGCTTTAAGTACAGGAGCTCTAATTCATTCGTTTACTGTTTTTATTTCACAGTTCTGTTTAATAAATTATATGTACTGTATGGAAAAATTTTATCATTTGAGAAAATAGGTTTCCCAGTGACTTACAGTCTTACAGACCAGATTACTAAGTGCACTGTTGGTTGCAATGTTTTTTTTTTTTTTTGTGAAAGATATAATTGGATTAAGAAGTTGCTACCTTTGTTTAAAGTTGTTTACTTTACAGGTTTATTTGTTATCAAGTTCAAATTATTAATTTCCAAACTATTTCAAGCAAAGTCATTTTAAAATTTCTTTGCAGCAAGTATTATCATTTATTTTAAAATAATATCATATATTGGCTTAGTATCTGGATGCCTGCTCTCTAAGAAATCAGCATTTGCCAACGAAAAATCTCTATTGGTCGACCACTAATTATCAATTTTCTTGCCTGTAAAAATTCTTTAAATTTATTTATATAATACTTTTAACAATACACATTGTTTCAAAGCAGATTTACAGAAAATCCTGACGTTAATGTTTATCTTAATATCTTCATGCCTTATAGTCGCATTTAGCATGTTAGAGCTGAGCGATACTGTAATTAACATTTCCAACTATACAAGCAGTTAAGCAGTTGACATCTGAAATTTGTTGATGATATAATAAATAATTTTTCAATTACATAATCAGGCAGTTGAGTTTTGCTATACAATAGTATACTGTATGTATACGGTTACGGCTGAATAGACTTACTGTAGTTGTATAATTCATTATTATTTATTAATTTGTTCATTAATATGAGTTGGGCGATTCGACAAAAAACTTATATCACAATATGAGTCATTTTATTTCATGGTAACGATATATATATCACAATATAGCTATTTTTGCTTTATGATATTAAGATCTTTATGATACTAGCCTAAAAAAACAAAAAAAACAAAAAAAAACTCAAGCTCACTGAAGACAAGTAATCAGTCAGCGATTAAACAAGAATAAGTAACTAACTGCAAGCAATAGGACAAAACTACAAACTACAGTAGAACAAATAAGAAATGCATACATTGCGTAAAGTAATCAAATGTATAAAACACTGCATATTCTTCACTGTGTAAATAAAATATAGATTTTCAATTTTGCTGTTTGATTAATATGAATGACAGACAGCAGGAATATTAGACTGCTGTCACTTTAAGAGCTGCCAATCTACCGTTACACATGTGTTTTCTTTCTCAGCGGTTTGCTTTCACTAAAGACCTAAATTGCTGCGTTTATGAGGATACTTGCAAAGACGGGCATTTTGACACATACAAGTGTGTGTAGTTAACCATTCAAGGCCTATAAAGCGGGAAAAAATAACTCAATACTCCTGAGCTCTGAGAGCACTGTCTTCACGTGTGTGCACCTCTCTGACAGCGCTCGGAAACAGTCTCTCAGAAAGTGCGCACATTAGGGTTGGGTACCGTTTACATTTTAACCGGTACGGTACCGGTATCGGCACCTGAATTTCGGAGCAGGTACCCAACGGTACCTTTTTTCGGTACTTTATTCTCTGTGTAATTACAAAAACATTTATTTCAGTGAAAAAATACATCCAAAAGTCTCAATTTCAACATATTGAACAATAGGGCCCTGTTTTAATTTTTCTGAAAATCAAATGATGTACAAAAGTAATACAAGAGTAATATATTTCTGTTACATGTTAAACCGTACTTTTATTATGACAGATTGCCATGAAGTTTCTGTGTGTATACAGTATGATGATGCTAGTTCTCTCAAATGAAATGGACTCTCACAGCAGCTCTGGAGATTAAGTTTTTGTGTTCATGTCGTCAACGTCACAGGGTCTCTCTTTCTCTCTCTGTAGTGTATGCGCCCAGATGCGTTCTCAGATACCGAAATTTGGCACCGATTGATTTAACGTGAATCGGTACTCTGTAGTACCGACACAATTCGGTCGGTACCCTTAAAAGTACCGAGTTCGGTTCCCAACCCTAGCGCACATTTGGCAAAATTATTTCTCTTTTGCTGCTGATTGCGTTTCAGTGGCTTAAAAATCACTTGTTTTTAAACCGCAATGCTTAAAAACATGTGTTTTCATGACCACGTAGAACAACAATGTCACATGAGCCTGTAACCGTGATAGAGAAGATAGTCCAAAATCTCTACTGGTGACAAATTTCTACCGGTTAATCATGTCTACCGGTATATTGCACACCCCTTATATGAGTTATTCATCAATTCAAGCCTTTGTGCTTGGCATGAGTGTGAGGGAGTACTGTACCTGGACCACACGGGATACAGACTCCATCAGGTCCTCTGATGAGCTCCATGGTCTCCTCGTCCACCTTGACTAAGCGGATGGGGTAAAAGTAGGGCAGGATCCGGCTATTGAATCCACAGGCACCCGTCTGCAGTCGAAACAACATGTTACAACCACCTTCCACTCTTCAAAATTAAATACTACTGAGCAAATTAAACCAGTCACAGCATTTCCATCAGCACCTTAAATAGCCCATAACCACCTGTGCTTGATTACTGAACATCTTGTAGATGTCCTCATAAAATTTATGGTAACACACAATCAAATTGCTGCGTATGTATCCTTTTCCATATGCATTATCCACTATTGTAGAGGTTTACAACTGTGTTACTCATAAAGGCTGTTGACAGACACTCCATCTAAAGTGCGCTTTTGTCAGGGCAGACCTTGTTATCGAAGTTGCCCAGGCTACAGTTGCACTCGGTGGCGCCGTAGAACTCTGCGATCTGTGGGACGTTGAAGCGGGTGGTGAATTCCTCCCAGATGGACTGACGAAGGCCGTTACCGAGGGCCATGCGGACCTTGTGTTGGTGCTCGGTGTCCTTCTTCGGCTGATTAAGCAGATAGCGGCAGATCTCGCCAATGTACTGCACGATCTGAGACATAAAATCAAATATCAGTTTTCAAAACTCCCTTTAAGCTCCATTTCCATGCAGAACATTAATATTAATAACATAATTTGCAATCACACAACTATAACATCAAAGCAGAGGCCTGAAAGTCCTGGGGATATTTACTGAATGCACAATATATTGAATATGGTTTTGTTTGCCATATAAAATTATGCAAAATTGCAATGATTTGAATGATCTGCTCTATTTAGCCTTGAAAGACCATGTCAGTAGGTCTTATGTTATGACTCATGAGTATGAGCAAAACTCAGTGACAAAAATGCTGGTAGAGTTTTATTCATTTCTGTGAATCAGTTATTTGTTTGCATCCTCACTCACTAAAATGTTTATTGATGTTCCAGTGGAAAACATGCCACAATAAGTTGTATTAAAATGTATATAGTAAATACTGCAGTTTACTATTATAAATATATGTAATACATTAATAACATATAACATATAAATATAAAAAAATTAAACATAACTTAAACATATAAAGTAAACATATATACAGTGGGTACGGAAAGTATTCAGACCCCCTTAAATTTTTCACTCTTTGTTTTCATGTCTTTGCATGGTACTCCAGCATATTTCAGAAATACCATGGTACACACACACACACACACACACACACACAACACAAAAAAACAAAAAACAATAAAAGAGTATATAGAAAAAATTAATAGATGCCATATTAAATAAATATAAACAATTATACACATTATTGTTCAAAAGTTTCAGGTCGATATGATTTTTAAATGTTTTTGAAAAAGTGCTGCATTTACTTGATACAAATATCAGTAAAACAGTAATACTGTTAAATATTACAATAAAAAAATTTTATTTGAATATTTTAAAATGTAATTTACTCCTATGATGCTAAAGCTGAATTTTTAGCATCATTACTCCAGTCTTCAGTGTCACATGATCCTTCAGAAATCATTCTAATATGCTGATTTGCTGCTCAAGAACAATTTCTGTTTATTATCAATGTAAAAAACAATTGTGCTTCTTTATATTTTAGGGGAAATCGTGATGCATATTTTCAAGATTCTTTGATGAAATGAAAGTTCAAAACACCAGCATCTTTTGTAGCATTATAAATGTCTGACCAATTTAATGCGTCCTCTCTGAATAAAACTATAAAAAAATGTTGTTGTTTTTTTTTAAAGCTGTATATTCACCCAGCACAAACTGAAGAACTATATAGACAAACTGAATTCTTGTATATTCCATAATAACATAAATTCCATTACTCACTGTGCAGTTGTATTTGATACAGTCATCCCAGAACTTTGATGCGCTGAACTTCTTCCTGATCACTACAGTCATTCCATGGATCAGACACTGTCCAACTCCCACTATGTTACCTGCCAGAGAGAACAGCACCGAGCTCAGAACAAACCTACCGATTACTTACAGATTAAAGACTCGCACACGCCAACGTATGCTTAAATAAGAAAACATAAAACAAACTAAGCTGTTTTTCTTAAAAGAGCACTGGACAAGTCATAGGACCTTATGTAGACATCCATCGAAACAAACCACAAAACTGTCACACAGGAAGTAGCCTGAACCAAACTCTGTGACAGGAAATGCACATATGAAGAAGGTGTAGAGAAGCCTGTGTTCAGTGATGTACCAGCTGAGTGGTAAAGTGGTAAACAGTCATAAAGCACATCCTCAGACTTCATTCTGAAACCATAGTACACCAAGGCAGCCATGCGGTAATACCTGAGGGAGGAACGCAGGAAAGACGGGGTGAAAAACTGGGAGCTTGATTCATTGAGAGAGAAAAATGAAGGAGAAAGCAGGGAAGGAGAGACTGTGAGAAATGGAGAAATGAACATTCTCACACACTTACCGACTGTGTACAACAATAGCAGCTTTGGGCATTCCAGTGGTCCCCGACGTGTAAATGTAAAAGAGGCGATCTGGAGGCAAAGAAGAAGAAAAACTATCAAGAATCTAATTGTTCATGTGATTTTTAACATCCTTTAAAGGTCTTTTTAAAAGTTAAATAAATAAAAAAACAAAAGTATTATTTTAGTATCATTGAGCTACTATTATAGTTTTTATTAATATTTTATTGTTGCCTGACTGTCACTCTCTGTTTATGATTAATAAAAAGATTGTCTTTATTTTTAGATTTTGTTTTCATTTTAAGTTGAATTAAAGTTTTAATAACTTTTTTAGTTTTAAAAATATTTCTCTAGAATTTGTATTAACTTTTATTTCAATTTTAGTTTTGGACAAACTAAATGAAAATGAGAAATACTGCCTTGGCAACTAGATGTGAAAAAAGTTTAAGTTGAATTTTTTTGTTTTTTTTCAGTTAAATGTTATTTTATTTCAAGAAACAAAAATGCTTTTTTTTATGGTTTTGGTATTAGTTAACTATAATAACCCTTACAGGAAATATTCAGGCCCAATTCAATGCCAGATTTTCAAAATTCCTTGAAAAAGGTTTGAATGTCTTTTTAAAAATGTCATAATAATAATAGACATTCAGCATAAAGAAAAAAATGAAAGGTTTTAAAAAACGGATAATTGCAATACAATATTTCATTACATAGAATGACTAGAATGAGTTCATAGTGATATATAATTTTATATTTTTGTATTTTTGTTTTAAATGTTCAAATAACTCTGTGTCTGACTGTCTTGCCTGTGAAGCTGCGATCTGGTTGTCTGGGCTGGTTTGTAGAGGTCGCCTCCAGCAGTGGCTCGAGATGCTCCGTCCCATCAGGAACCCGTTTGGGGTCCCATTCTCCAGAGCAGAGGAGCTTAACAGTCTTTCCCATGGAGCTGTGCACCTCACACATCGCTGAGACAGTGAAAGAGCGGGAGAAATAGATGAAGTAACCATCACAGAGACAAATAATGTAACAAAATTAGTCTAGAAGAAAGCACAGGACGAACAAACGGCCGGAAATGTGAAATCAATAAGAAACGTAGCTGACTCAACATGGCATGCTTTATGAGTCAGTTTCCAATTACTTAAGAGACGACTAGCAAACTCGATTTCATTAGGATTTCGCTGTCGTTCGTGACCTCTGGTATGAATCCTCTTTGGTGCAGTGAGGTTATTTCACTATGAGTTACACGCAGTCACCTCTGGCCATAATAAATCTGAACTCTGCGCTACTCATTCATTTCTCTAGAGTACACACTCTCGTCTTTGTCCAAGTGCCACTTCCTTATTTGCTTTCTGCAGTGTGTCATTGCAACACTTCTGAACTGCTGCCTTAATCGAGACTATATTGAGCCAACAGATCAAAAAATAAATCCTTGTCTAAAATCAACATGAAATCACACTATTTACCCTCCTATTACATATTTTGGTTTCATGGTGCAAGACGCATCAGCGAACACAAAAAAAAAAAAAAAAAAAAAAAAAAGAAAAAAAAGATGACAAAGTCAGACTTTTTTTCTTTCTTTTTTTTTTACTTAAAATATAACTTGATCTGCCTCTGAAATTTTTTTTTTTCACAGATCCAGAAATTTCCTGAATCCCTTCTGGTACATAATGATCACAAAATGATAATGCCCCATATTGTAATGACCAGTGTTGGCCATTAAAGGGTATTTGCTATTGACTGTTCAAATGCGGAGTTTTGCGCATCGTGTGTGTGTGTGTGTTTGTGCGCGCGAGCGAGCGAGCGAGAGAGCCATTAAAGCATGTCAACATATTCTGTTACACCAAATACACAAAATAATGATCTTTAAAAAAGCATCATATGACCCCTTTAACTAAAAATGCTACTAACATAATCGTTTTGTTTTATTTATTTTTTTCTTAAAAAAAAAAAAGTGTAGGTTTTCCAGAAACAATCTACCATTCCCAACAAGCAAAGCTGTAGAGTTGAGTAGCCTGATTAATTTTAATGAAGAAGTTTGCTTGGACGGTTAAAAAAAAAAAAGTGCAGAAAACGCAAATTTAATTTTTGAGGAAATATTTCGTGAAAATATTTTCCAGATATTAATCAATGTATCGTCATGAGCCGCAGGGTTTAATTTGGTTTTGTTTGAGTATGTTTTTTTGACTCTCAAAGCTGTGATTCCATTATAAGACTGACAGACTGCAGCGGTTTGAGTTAAAAATCTCAGTTTGTGTTCTACTGAAGAAACAAAGTCACCTACATCTTGGATGCCCTGGGGGTAAGCAGATAAACATCAAATTTTCATTTTTGGGTGAACTATCCCTTTAATTTTCCCAACAAATAGCAATGTAGAATGACAAATTTCGACATTACTTGCGCATTTTTAAAATGTTGAGCAGATATTGTATTTTGATTCATTTTAGTGAATCAATTTGTTTGGATGGTTTATAAAAAGGGGGCAAATTCATTCCCAGTGCAGACATTTTACATCTTCATTTTTAGGAAATAATTTGTGGAAATATGTTCCAGATATTACTTAATTTCCCCAACAAACAGTAATGTAGAATGACAAAATGCTACACTGATACTTTGATACATTTCTAAAGTGTTGAGTATTATGATTCGTTTTAGTGAATCGGTTTGTTTGGATGGTACAAAAAAGAGGTCAAATTCATTCCCAGTGCAGACATTTTACATCTTCATTTTCAGGAAATAATCTGTGGAATTATTTTTGAGAAATGACCTAATTTTCCCAACAAACAGTAATGGAGAATGACAAAATGCTACTTGAGGTAGCACTGAGAAGTTTGATTCATTTTACCGAATCAGTTTGCTTGGATGGTTAAAAAAAGATTCATTTCCAGACATTTTACACATTCATCTTTCAGGAAATATGTTGAAGAAATAACTTCATTTTCCCAACAAGTAGCAATGTAGACCAACCCTTATGAAAATTAACCATAGTTTTATTATAGTAAAAATGTAGTTACCATGTTTTTTTGGCATATTGATTACCATTGGTATAATAACCAGTTTTACTACAAATACCATGGTTAAACTATGGTTACTGTAACTATATACTTAGTTTAACTATAGTAACCATGGATTTTTGGTTTTATTTGTAGTAAAACCATGGTTCATTTTCATAAGGGAAGTTTGATTTTAGTGAATTTGTTTGTTTATGCAGTTCATTTCATTGCTTGCCATTGACAAATATTGCATCTGAAAGTTAAACATTTAAAAAATATATTTCCCCTGTAAACAGCCTAAAAATAGTTAGGTAAGGTCTGTTAGTAGTTTGTAGCATAGATAAATACTTCTTCAAAAGCATGGTTTGACTGTGCTTGGGAAGTCACAGTTTCATAGTAGTTTCCTCATCACTGATGACTGTCAAATCTCTTCTCACCATCTGTCAGCTCACTGCCGAACACCACTGCTTTGGCGCTGGAGATGTTGACACAGTGCACCAGAGCCTCCAGTCTCAGGTTGAAGTTGATGAGAGCTGCCTCCACTCCGATCTTTGCCATTCCCAGCCAGAGCCCCACGTACTGAGAGTGGTTCTCCATGAACAGAGCGATCACGTCGCCCTCCGTGAAGCCCCTCTGAAGCAGAAGGTTAGCCACGCGGTTGGAGTAGTCGTCAAGCTCCTTGAAGCTCCATTTCTCGCCCGTTCCTTCAAAAATCAGAGCCGTCTTGTCACCGTATTTCTTGACAGACTTGGCAAAAAGTTTGGGAACGGTGTTGCGCTCACGGAGGTGCTTTTTGACATTCAGTTTTACCCTCAGCAACACACTGGCTGCACTGCAAAAGAACACATTGTGATATGACATTATGATTATGATGGTTTATTCTGGGCAAATTCTTTAAAACATCTGAGTTTTGAGTAAACGTTTCATTTAAAATAATTAGTCCACCGGTCAAATTTTTGGAATAATTCTGATGCTTTTACAATGGTTTTGAAAGAAGTCTGTTCTGCTCACCAAGGCTGCTATAATGGGAATATTGTGAAATATTATTACTATTTAAAATAACAGTTTTCCATTTGAATATGTTGTAAAATGTCATTTATTCCTGTGATAGCAAAGCTGAATTTTCAGCATCATTACTCCGGTCACATGACCCTTCAGAAATCATTTAAATATGCTGATTTGCTCAGTCATTATTAATTATTATTGGTGCTCAATTATTAATAAGGATTCTTATTATAATTAATGTTGAAAACTAAAACTTAATGTTTTTGTGGAAACTTTTTCAGGATTCTTTGATGAATAGAAAGTAAATTTATTTAAAACAGAAATCAATGTAACATTATGAATGTATTTACCTTTAAAAAAAAAAAAAAAGTATTGTGTCCTTCCTGAATAAAAATAATCTTACATTCTTACAATCTTAAATCAACATTTAAAAGTTGGGGCAAGTATGATGGTTTCTAAATTTATGCAGTAGAAAATGTATAATGATAAGCACTGATAATAATAATGTATGTTTCCTGAGCAGCAAATCAGCATATTATTATGATTTCTGAAGGATCATGTGACATTGAAGACTGGAGCAATGATGCTGAAAATTCAGTTTTACATCACAGGAATAAATTACATTATATATTCAAATTTTTACATGATTAAATTATTACATATTTTTTATGTAATAATATTTTACATGACTGTTTTTACTGTATTTTGATCAAATAAATTCAGCCTGGTTAGCATAGGAGACTCTTTTTTTTTTCATAATGTTCTTTTTAGCAGCATCATATGACCCCTTTAAGTAAAGTAATCTTGATTATTTCAAACTTTTGACCGCTGGTGTACTTTAAACCATTGTGCAGGTTATTGCGTATAATCATCTGTTTAATGGTAATGGTGGCGATTCTAGCCTCATCAACTTCTTTCTTCAGTGACAAATAACAAATCTGTAAGTGGCAGGAAGTAGTTAGTGTGGTGTTCGAGCAAACACAAACACTGTCACTCTGCTAAAAGCACTGATCCCTGACCCTTAAGAGTCCTTACGTCCATTAACAGCTACCCTAAAAGCCTCCGTCCTCCAATCCAGGCTCTTACGGAGTAATCTGTGCGGCTGATACGATAAACCCACACCTCCAGGACCTGGAGACTGAATCTCCACCAGTGACAAAACTCCGATTGCTAGCTGAGGTTTTGCAACAGCAAACAGAGAAGTTCACTTTTGACTTAAAAGAAATTCCTCAAAGTCTTAAGATGCTTAGCAATCATGCTTCAGATTACTCAATTCACATTTCAAAACCTACTGTCTTTGAGGAAACACAAGCTGAACCTGCCAGGAACAGCCCAGAAACCCATTTCAACAGACACTCAGCTCATAATACCGGAATGTGCGCTTGTGTTCGCTGAGGAACTGTTCAGCCTCATTGAAAGGGCCCAGGTAAATGTATTACGTGATCATTATTCACAAAACCACATCTATAAACATAAATCAGATTACATTCATAAACTTCTTTATCAGTGTATAAGGACTGTCAATTAATACATTACTGAGCAAAATTAAATATTGCATGCATTTAAAAAAACAACTAGATATTTAATATTTTACTTTAATGCATTTACTTAATTTGGCATGATATGAGTTTCATTTCTATAGCATAGAAAGTTGTTACATCAGCTATTACATTATTTTTTGTGTGTTTTGATGTATAGTAGACAAAAACATGAAGTACCTACATACAAATATCTTTACAATTTTTTAAGAAATGAGTTGGACTAGATAGTGAAGGAAAACCAAGCGTCCAGCTTGTACTGAATTTATGGAATTTAAAATAGGAATTTAAGATATTTAAGACCCATTTCCCTAAAACATCTAAGGGTGCTTTCACACTTGGTTCGCGTGCCTGGTCCGAACCCGAGTTCGATTGCTCCCCCCTCCCCCTGCCCCCGCTGGACTGCGTTCGGTTCATATTATTTTATTTGGGTCCGAACCGCGGTTCGTTTGCGTCATCAAGCCAGCAGCTGTTTACCCCGTTGCTTAGTAATGACGGCGCGGGAGAAGGCGGCAATAACATTACTCTCTTCACTTTTAGATATTTATGTTTTTGAAACGTTGGTTTTGTTTCCAAAGCTTCGGTACATAACGACACTTACGTCTGTCTTACGAATGTACTACAAATGCTCTTAAGAACGCTGAAGACGAACAGAAATGAGATATACAGCTCTCTGTTTGCAGCGCGTCAGTCACGCTCGTCAGGAAAGTGAGTGAAAAACACACACAAACACACATTTTCAAATTAAAAAAAATTTTTTTTTTAAATCAAATAATACGTCATTAATAGCGCTTCACTTCCGCGATTTGGTACGATTGCGTTCACATCAGCAGCGAACTGTACCGGAGTTCACTTGAACCGTACCCCAGACCACCCTTTTTAAGCTGCCTCGGGTACGGTTCGTGGGTGCGCGGAAAACAGCGTTCACATTATGCTGTACCGGAGACCCCAGACCCCCCTTTTTAAGCGGACTCGGGTACGGTTCGCGGGTGCGCACCCGAGTTCGAAAGACAGCGTTCACATCATCCAAACGAACCGAACTCTGACGTCAATCGAACCGGGGTGCGCACCAAAAGTCCTAGTGTGAAAGCACCCTAAAACTAAATTTGGATTCACTTGATTAAAACATAAAAAAAATCTCTGTAAAAATATTACAGTTCAATAAAATATGACATATAATTAGCTCTGACATGATACATATGGGACACTGTTTAAAAATCATCCCAGGATGCACATCCCAGGAATTTGGTAGAGAAAATTTCCAGAATGTGCAGAGCTGGAATGTAAACAAAGGGTGGAAAGCTAAAATAGAGGATATTTTGGATTTATTTTAATTTGACATTTTTGGTCCCTTATATTCCTTATTTTCATATTGTGTTTCTGTATTTTTTAAAGATTTTGATGACTTGTAGAGAATGTAGTGAAGTACATAAAAAAGTATATACTGTGTATATATATATATATATATATATATATATATATATATATATACAGTATACACATACACTATAAAGTATAAAAAGGATATTGTAGTAGCATATAAACTTACTGCAAATCGCGGTATATGGTCTTTGAAAACACATGTAAGGACTTCCATCCTCCAGAACCCAGGAAGAAAATGGAAATGGATGGCAGAACCTGGAACCAGGACAGGCCGACGAACAGCCTGAGCACGAAGAGAAGGGCCGTGGAGCACGCCAACCGCAACATCCTAACACACACAAACACTATCATTCACACACCATCACCTCACAACTTCAACATCGTTTCTTAACACTGGACTATTGCATTTACATTTCGTTTGACCTGTGTGATATAAAAAAAGATGTTGTTCATTAATAAAAGTTTTAATATAATCATTATAAACCTGATAATTACAAGGGCTGATATGCAAAACTCTGAGAGATTAACACAAGATAAGTCTCTTAATCATATCAAGACAAGATTAATGTAATTGACCTTGTGAATGTATGTTAAAGGTACAGCAGTCCAGAGTACTTTTATCATCTGGAAGAAAAGTCAGTCAGACGCTGTAACTTTCAAAATGTGTTTTTTATTTTTTAAATTGAGATATTTAGTTTAATGCTGCTTTTATTTTTTTCATTTTTTATATATTATACGTATGAAGGTTATCGTTAGATATATAAACGGAGGATAACCCTGACTGACTGTGAATGTGTTTTTGTATCTCTGATGTGCACTGTAGATGGATACAGATGATCAAGCATTGACAAGAACTTAAAATGTTAATTATTAAAATGCTCCTTTATATTAAAACGCACTGAAGCGTTTCTAGGCCTTCTTTGGCACTAAAAACACCTGTAAAGTAACTAGGGTGGATTGAATGTCAGTGACGGAAGGCAACAGAGCTATTTGAGCTGTACTATTCTTTCTAACAGTTCATCTGAAGGCAGAGAAGTATCACATGATCCCTAAGTACACCTATATAGGGGAGACCGGGGCTAGTTGTCACAAGGGTTTTATCACAGTAACTATAAGATTTTGAGTCAAAAGGACAATTAGACAACTGTGGGTTTTCCATATTGGTTTCAAACATCTAGGTCAAATATTATCTTAATTTTTGAGAACATTTTCTCAGAACAAAAATGTATAATATTGTAATATACTTGCTATAGCAGTTAATATATAGCAGGTTGCAAAACACTCTGAAATACATTCTTCATATTTGTAGCATTAGCCAAAAAAACAAACACTGTATGGGTCAAAATTATCGATTTTTTTTTATACCAAAAATCATTAGGATATTAAGTAAAGATCATGTTCCATTAAGATATTTAGTAAATTTCCAACCATAAATATATAAAACCTTAATTTTTGATTAATAATATGCATTGCTAAGAATGCTTCATTTGGACATAATTTGCGATTTTCTCAATATTTAGATTTTTTTGCACTCTCAAGATTCCTGATTTTGTATCTCGGCCAAATATTGTCCTATCCTAACAAACCATACATCAATGGAAAGCTTATTTATTCAGATTTCAGATGATGTATAAATCTCAATTTCAAAAAAATTTACCTTTTTGACTGGTTTTGTGGTCCAGGGTCACATATAATGAATATATATTTATTCTGAATTGTTATGCAGACAGCTTAATAATTATATAGTTTATTAATTTACAAATTTCTGCTTTCTGATAGTGTCCGTCAATTTTTAGTTTTATGAACTGTTTTTGGTGTTGTATAATTGTCTTATTGTTCAAATTTAGCTGAAAAGCCATTAAAGCTTCTCATTGTGACAGCTTATGCCACATAGTAAGAACAAGTTAATTTAACACATTTTAGTAAATCAAAGTGTGTTAAATGAACTGTATATCTGTGAAATATATATATCTATATATATATTATGCATCTTGTAGACAACACTTCACGGTGTGTCTAGACAGAATTTCTATTAATCATCCTACTCCGTAAAATATTCACTGGCGTAAAGGTGTGACAAATAGCCCCGGTCTGATGCACCTATAGATTATACGCCATTTCACACATTGACAGAAATTATGGTTACACATCGTCATCATCGTCGCACTGTCGAACGCTTCCGCCGCAGCAGGGAAATCCTACAATGTGCGCCTGTCCATCCTGATCCTGAGTGAGGGATGCTGGAGAGAATCCACCCGCCCCGCGGAGCAATGTCTGTTCAATCCTTCAAACATAATGATAGACGGGCTGTGGGTGCGGATGGATATTAAAGCAATGCAGAAGAGCCATCATCATCATCATCATCAGGCGAGGGTTACCGCAGAGCCCGGAAATCTGAGCGAGCACATTGGCTATACAGCACTGTAATGACTCATTTGCGCGAATCGGCTCTTTTGAACAGTTCGTTTCAAAGAACGGATTCAAAACACCGATTCAGAGATTCTTTTACGCCATTACATCACCTCGCGGTGCTTAGAACACAAATATAACTTGCATTTACAGTAAACAATACAAAAATTGTTCTCCAAATCTCCAAGTTGAAAATATTTTAATATATTATAAACAACTGTCTATATAGAATGTGAGTTGATAAAGCGGTGTTGATTAAGTGGCAAAATATATCAAATACTTTTATCTGTAGTATTTCTGCTATTGAAATGTCTGCTGTTTTAGGCTCATTGTAAGTCAAAAATGTTCAAAAGGAGACTGTCAGTTCAATGAGTCGGTCAGTTGTTGAATCCAGAACCGCTCGAACCGATTCGTCAACGCATCGCTCAGTCCATTTATTGACTCGGTTGAAAAGATCCGATTAAAAAAAACGAGTCGTTCACGAATCGGACATCCCTACAGCACTGCAGCACACTGAGGTTCACTCTTCTGTTACAATCACAAGATACATTATAAGGAATTCACGCATTACATTATATAATGTGTTTACACGATCAAGCGTAAACTGCAACGTTATATCATCAGGCTTGGTTGCGCTGCGTTATTTGCTGTCCGTGTTTTATATTGAAAAGCCCAGTGCGAATATCTGGCATCTCATCCCCCCCAATTAAACTGTCCCATATGTACCGCATCCATTAGCCAACATAAGCAAGACACAGTGTATGCTGATGCTACTGTAAAAACCGGTAAATGCATCTTTAGCTGGCAGCTGCGATCATGACGATTAATGATACAGGAGATTCCGGAAATGGACAATGGCTAAAATATTTGAAATGTAGGTGTCTGTGTTCTGGGAAATACCTCGGTATCGGTGTCCGTGTTCACAATAACCTGTGTTTTATGGCAGAAGGGGAACCTGTCCCGTACGATCCCACCTTGATCGGCTTAAGCGAAACCTCCGCGGATTCACGCGCGCCGGTGTGTAACGGCCACACGCCTGCCTTTTACCTAATAACCGCGGCGTCTTCGGTAGACTTTGCTCCTGTTTATTTCATTTTTTCATTCTTATCTTTTATCGCTTCATTGTAACGATGGCTTGTAGCGCTGGTAATTCCAATGACCTTATAATTTTCTTACTTCAGCCCGCCTCCTCTCTATTCGCCGGTGCTGTGTGCACACAGTGATTGACAGCTCTTTGAACCAATCGCGTTCTCGGAGCTCTGCCGTTTCGCTCAGGAAAGGCGGGTCTTAAAGTCCGGTCAAGGAAATATGGCCCAGCTAGCGAATCATCAGGGCAGTTTCCACCCGGTAGTCGCAAAGCAGCTCCGCAGGACCTTGAGGCATGATGGAGGAGAAGGAGGGCTATTGTCAGATATCTGCCCATCTGCTGGCCATTGTAAATGCAAAAACAGCTGTTTGTGTATATTAAAATTATATAATGTATATGGCAATTCAAACGTGTTAAGAGGCAGGCCTTTTTACTTTAAATTAATGCTCTGAAATTATATGGAGTCAAGGATGTTTTTTTATTAATTTAAAATGCACGAATCCGTCTTCCGGAAGCGTTAAAACACCGTTCATCTAACTTATCTACTTTCTCTTTGGAAAAAAATGTCTGGATTATTAAAGATGCAAAATCAATTTGACCATACTTTCTTTGTTAATATGAGTTTATGGTTTTATTGTGCACAACCAGTACCAATTACAGTGCATAAAAAATATATATCCATCCTAATATTAAATTACCAGCCCTGCCGCTTAAACAATTTAACTTTTTGACTGACGTCACAAAAAAATTTTTTCAATCCCTTATAAAAATGGGTTGCGGAGAACATTTTGTTGACATGCTTTGCCTAACAAATTACTTTTCAACGAATCTGTTCATGCTCTTTTATAACTAATCACAATATCTTCTGGTTCATTCATATATACATATATATATATATATATATATATATATATACACATACACACACAACCGGTCAAAAGTTTGGAATCAAAATTATTTTATTTTTACTTTTTGATGAATAAAAAGTTAACAAGAAGAGCATTTCTTTCTTTTTTTGAATGAAATTAAAACTTTTATTCAGCAAGGATGTGTTAAATTGTTAAGAAGTGATAGCAAAGATTTATATCGTTAGAAAAGATTTATATTTTGAATAAATGCTGTTCTTTTTAACTTTTTATTCATTAAAGAATCCTGAAAAAAGTATCGCAGTTTCCAAAAAAATATTTGGCAGCACAACTGTTGCCAACATTGATAATTCTAATAATAAATCAGCATATTAGAATGATTTCTGAAGGATCATGTGACACTTTATACTGGAGTAATGGCTGATGAAAATTCAGCTTCGCATCACAGAAATAAATGATATTTTAAGGGAAATTAAAATAGAAACCAATATTTTATATTGTAATAACATTAAATTTTGCAAGATTACTGTTTTTTCTGTATTTTTGATCAAATAAATGCAGCCTTGATGAGCACAAGAGACTACTTTAAAAAACATTACAAGTTTTACTGATCCCAAACTTTGGACCGGTAGTGTACATATATATATATATATTTGGCATGTCCGCGAACGGTCAATTAAAATTGCATGTGGTAATAGAAGCAAAACAGACATTTCTTGTTTTGATTTCGTAAATCCACTTCACTTCGGATATCATGTTTGATAACATTTTACAACTGTCAGTTTAACGAGGCAAATTTGCTATCAGTGTAGCAGATGGTTTTATCTATGCTATCCAAAAATATTGAGACTAATATTCACTATCTTAACTTACATAAAGTGTATTTAGTTCAACTTTTACACAGTTAAATCAGTTTTTGTAACAAAACATTTGAGCAATCACACAAATATGGCATATGAACTTTGAAATAAATACATTTGTTTGTTTTATGTAGAGTAACAAACTGAAATTGGAAACCAACAGTAATGCAGTTAAATAAATTTGCCATAGGACTTGCTCGAAGGAATAGTTCACACGTAAACAAACATTTGTATGACTATTTACACTGTTATGACTGACTTTCTTCAGTGGAACACAAAATAAGGTGTTTTGAAGAATGTTCATGCTGCTCACTGACATGCAATGCAAATGGGCTGTAAAAGTCTAAATAAGAGTTTTGTGAATATTCTTCAAAGTTTCATCTCATCTCGTTTTGGGTTCCACTAAGAAAGTCAGTCGCACAGGTTTTGAAACAACATGAAGGTGAGTATGTGATGACCGAAATGTAATTTTTGGGTGAACTATTCCTTTAATTCACCAGATTTGGATGACAAGTTTATGGGCGTAGACAGATTTTCATACACAATCTCTCATGAAGAAAAAACACAAACACAAACTTTTGGCACAAACACAATGTGAGGAAAAATGTGTGCAGTGCAGGAGCTGAGATAAACTCTGAGGCAATTCTTCTCACAATGTTTACAGAAGCCTTTCCATTTCTTTGAAGGTTTATATGTATCATGGACTCAGAGTTAAAGCAATAGTTCACCCAAAAATTTGGTTAAAATGTACTCACCCTCAAGCCATCCAAGATATAGATGAGCTTGTTTCTTCATGGGAACAGATTTAGAAAAATGTAGCATTACATCACTTGTTCACCAATGGATCCTCTGCAGTGAATGGGTGCCGTCAGAATGAGAGTCCAAACAGCTGATAAAAACATCACAATAATCCACAAGTAATCCACACCACTCCAGTCCATCAGTTAATGTCTTGTGAAGTGAAAAGCTGCGTGTTTGTATGAAACAAATGTATCAGTAAGATGTTTTCACTTTAAACCTTCGCTTCTGGCCAAAATATCGGTCCATAATCCATAATAACGCTTCCTCCAGTGGAAAAGTCCATCCTCTGTTGTCCTCTCACATCAAAATCCACCAACATATTTGTTTAGAACTGTTTTTTGCTTGTAAACGGTTCTTGATCTGTGCATATTTCTTTCCTGATTCAGAAGAGATTACTTTTTCACTGGAGAAATCAATATAAATTCAAATCAAAGTTAAAAACGTCTCATTGATGATTTTGTTTCTTACAAACATACATCTTTTAATTTCACAAGACATTAACTGATGGACTGGAGTGGTGTGGATTACTTGTGGATTATTGTGATGTTTTTATCAGCTGTTTGGACTCTCATTCTGACGGCACCCATTCACTGCAGAGGATCCATTGGTGAACAAGTGATGTAATGCTACATTTCTCCAAATCTTTTCCAATGAAGAAACAAACTCATCAACATCTTGGATGTCCTGAGGGCGAGTACATTTTCAGCAGATTATCATTTTTAGCTAAAGGAACTATTCCTTTAAGCATGTTAAATTTTTTGTAAAAGCATGTTTTGTAATTTCACTGAAATGTCTCAATTTCTCTCATCCACCACAACAGCATGAAGAAAACAACCTGGTGTATTTGTTATAAATACAAAGATATAACACTAACAGTATTAAGATGCCTTCCAGTTACTCTATCTCCTCACATGAAGCTCAGTCAGTCGTCCAACTCGAGGCCAAAGTGACTGTACAAGTCTCGTGTGGTCACTCCACGCAGGCCGGCTGAGAGAGACACAGAGAGACAGTTGTCTTTGTCAATGATCACATGGGGGACAATGACGTGGCACAGACCCCCTCTGGCCCTCAGACCAGCTGAAGTCACAGCAAGGCTGAAGCATGCAAGAAACTCAGCATGCTGGGAGTCTGAAAGGGTCCATTATATTACAGAATGCAGCGATAATACCAGAGGATGCCATTATCATAATCCTGACACTAGACAGAAATGCTAAGCGTATAGAGGCTGTAACCCACTTATATGAGTGGGATGGGAGATGTGTGTAGGAGATAAACAGTTAACAGTATGAAATGTGAAATATGTTGAGTATCAGACCAACATAAGTCACGATTGCAGGTTTTACCTAATCTGCCCAGCAGAGTTTGTCCGATGTCTTTGATGTCATTGTATTCGTGCAGCAGGTCGATGTGTTGATCCAGCTCTTGTACAACAAATCCTCTACAAACACAAGAACAGAGGAACACAAGCTCAGTTTAATATGACAATCAATCACAATGAAGCACTTTCTTTTCTTAGGTAGTATAACAATGTAATTAACAACAAAGAACCAGATTATTTGAGATATTTTTATGTATTGTATTAAAGGAATAGCCTCATATATGAAATAATTATCACAAAAATATACATTTCTGAAATGCAACAGTTTATATATATATATATATATATATATATATATATATATGTGTGTGTGTGTGTGTGTGTGTGTCAAACTTAATTTGTATGTATACAAATAAATTGAGCTATATTTATGGCTCATAGTATGAGAATATTCTGCTCATTCTCAAGGAGGAAAAAAAACACATTGATTTTATTCAGAGGCACAAACTGCAAAAATATGAAATTTTTAGTTGCTGATATTTAAATGGCCAAAAAGTGAACTGAAATTCTGATAGCTTGTAATGTAAATCAATGAGAACTTTATAACAGTATAACAGACTACTTACATAAAATGCATATAAATATCATATTGCACTCTATATCTCACAATAATGTCCTTGTAAGATGATATTTAAATGCTTAGTTTTATGATAAAAGCTCTGTTGTTTCAAAACATATAATGCAATGCAATGCAATGATGATTGAGATGAACAAATAAAAGTTCTTTAAAAGACTGATCGATCATATTTGATACTCACAGTTTAACATGATAAAAAAAAAAAAAAGATGTATGGATAATCAAATAAACTTAAGTTGCTTCAGTACAGTAAGTGTTCATGAAATATTACTAACAACTTAGAAGTTATTCTTTATAAAAATAATGTTTACGTTATAACAGCTAGTAAAAATTCACATCAAAAAGACACATGAACTTGAAGCTAAAGGTGGACATAGCTAAAAAAAAAAACTATGAATTATCAATCAGACGACAGAAGGCATGTAGTGGACAGTGTATAATACCTTTTCAGCCAAATTTTAACCATGTTAATAATTTAGAGGCCTTATAAGATTGTATCCCATATGATTCAGTAGGCATCAAGGGTTAACAGTGCTGCTTTCGTTATTTCATTTCATTGAGTTCAATTTCACTAAATGGAAAAGAGTGAAGGATGGTCTTCAGAACATATTCAGTGTGCCACAAAAAAAAAAGAACGTCATGGAGGTTTAGAACGACATGAGGGTGAGTAAATAATGGCAAATTTTAATGTATGGGTAAATTATTCCT